AATACGAATTTGCATATAATGACGTCAGCATATTTATGGACATTGATTGTATCTCTGTAAATATTGATCGATTTTCTTCCAAATTTCGACATGATGTAGCTGAGACAATTCTCTACAAGCTCAGTCCACATCATTTTTCATTTTGATAATGTCATCAGAGTGAAATTTTGATTAAAGGCCTCATGTCAGAAATTTCACAATTTGCGTGTTATGACTATAGAAGGTGAATTTCGTTGACGTAATGAATCTACATGATATTGTAATCAAGAATTTTAAAGCAGTTTCTCGCTTATTTTTGCTCTATTTTTTTTTCAAATTTTAGTTTACCAGCCCACCTATACTTGTTCCAAACAAGTATTATATGTCTAGTTTATTAAATATTTTATATTTTTCTTATTTCTAACCACTTTTTTGTTAGCAAGATAACTTGAAAATGGCTCGATCAAATGCCTTGAAATTTGGCACACATATGTATAGGCATATGTACAAAGCACAATAACGTTTTCAACATTGACCTTCACTGATTACGTCATCTAGGCGCCATTTTGTAAAAAACAACTCATGATCATATCTTCATAACCAAAAGCTATTTCTCATTCATATTTATCATGATCGAGGTCAATATCCGTCCGGTCAATTTTAGGTCAAATAACGCGCACGTGCGCGTACGTCCGCGCGTCAATGCGCGCGCAAAATGTTAAAATGCTCAAAATCGTCTCAAAATCATTTTGCATACGTTTTAGGCCATTCTAAGCATTTTATAAAAAATCGCGCACGCACGCATGCGCGCGCGTTTTCGCGCGTCAAACTATTACACAACATAGAATCGCCATTTTTTTCTTTCATAATATTGCACATATTTTTACAATTAAATTGATACCATGTTTATCTCTTTATGACTATTAATAACGGAATGATCACCCGTTTAACATAAATTTCCGTGCGCGCGAGCTCTTGTAATACATATCATAAATGGGCAAAAAGATGCCTATACAAAATCCATTGTAGCTCTTTAGGATTCAAGGTGACCCCAATTTTTGTCTTCTTATTGTGATAGAATATGAATTGGAGATATGATTTCAAGTCTCATTTGACCCTTACTTTTCTCATGACGTCATCATAATGGCCTCCGAACTCATAACTTCAATTTGCATATTATGATGTCAGCATATTTTTCAAAAATTGATTGCATCTCTGTAAATATTGATCGATTTTCTTCCAAATTTCGATATGTTCTAGCTGAGACAATTCATTACAAATGTAGTTTCAACATTTTTCATTTTTGACAAAGGAATCATGGCGTATTTTTGCGATTAAAGGAGGCATGTCAATTTTTCACTTTTTGCGTGTATTCTCTATGGGACATGACTTTTTCTCAAAACTGGATTCTACATTCCCGTCTTTCGCGAGCGTTGTTTTAGCTTTGTTTACGCTGAGCTTTGAGTATGTTATAGCTGAGACAATAAGCTATCACAAGTGTGCCCTTTATTTTTCGATCAGATGCCGGGATCATGCTCATATCTCACTTGCAAAGAGGGATTTGAGAATTCCATTTTCCGTTTACGTGTATTCTCTATAGGAAATGTTTTGGTATATCGGTAACGCACTTGACTTTCGACCTCGAGGTCCCTGGTTCGAGTCCGGGCCCAACTAACAATCGGACGTTTTCTGAACGTTCTAAAAAGGTTCCAAATTGGTTTCCTAAACGTTTTGTGAAAACGTTCTAAAGACGTCTATTTGTGGTAGGTTTTGGACGTCTTTTGGAACGTTCCAACTGGACGTTTTTTGAACGTTTTCTAAACGTTTTTAGAACCAATAAAAAACCTTTTATAGATTTGCTTTTAAGTGCAAGGACCTGTAGAAAACCTGTCGGACATTTGGGACGTTTTTAAAACGTTTTAAGAACCTTAAAAACGTCCGGAAAACCTTTTAGGAACGTCTAGAACGTTTCCAGGACGTTTAAAGAACGTCTAGAACGTCCAAGAGAACCTTTTAAGAACGTGTAGAATGTACTGGAAACGTTTTGAAAACGTTCAGAAAACCTTTTACGAACGTCTAGAACGTCCTGGAAACGTTTTGAGAACGTTCAGAAAACCTTTTAAGAACGTCTAGAATGTCCTGGAAACGTTTTAAGAACGTTCAGAAAAACTTTTGAGAACGTCCAATATACAGTGAATTTTTAATAAACGCTAGGTCACACATGTATTTGATTGATTTTATGAATTTATTATCAAACATATTTACAAAATATGTACAAAGGCTTGGCAATACAGTACATCATGTATATTTCAAAAAGAGTATTGGTATTTCCCGAGGTGCCCCCGAAAGAACATACAATTCTAATATTCAGAATAAATTGTTATTTGATCAATATCGATTCACAAACGGCTGAAATATCCATAAATATATTTTTATTCCAAATATTAAAAATGCTTGAAGACTACTTTGAAGAAAACAAATCTGAATAGTTCTTTAAAAAGCAATTGATATAGACATTATTTAATTATTATTTTAACAAACATTAAATGCAGAAATTGAAAGTAACGGGTCATTTTGAATAATAACAGGGGTTTTACTTGGCCGTTTGTAATTATTACTTTGCACCGTGATGGTGCAGGTTTTGGTTTTAAAGTTAAGTTTGACCAATACTAAACTATCCCTTTAAAACTATAGATACATAACACATGAACAATCTACAAATAAAACATAAGAAAATGATAGATGAGTTGAAGATATGCCTCATTAACTGGCAAATATGAATACTCATATAATGCACGGGTCTATGTCTCTATGAATATACAAGGCAAGATAAAATGAATACTTTGAATAGTGTCAATAATTTGGCAGCACACATATAGCAACTTTGGTAACACACTTTATACAAGCAATTTGAGTTATTTACAGAACCTGGCAATTCATGCCAAAAAGATGCCCCAGCAAATGATTAAGAAATCTTTCTATAATAAGTCTTGATCTTTGGTAAAACCAAATAGTGGATTGAATTTTTTGAGTACTATATCAAATTCAATGTGAATAACCGATTTAGCTATGTGCCTCCACCCAGGATTAGCTTCATCATCCGGTGCAAATTATAACTATTCAAAAGAGTACATGTATTTACTTTCTCATCAACTTCTACAAGTGATAAAAATGTGACTATTTTAAGAAGTCACATTTCAAGTGAAAGTACGGCAAAAAAAAAAACAAGGAAACTACACTCGTTTCAGCTCTACAAATTGGCAACACTGATGACACCAACTGTGAGTAGCTATCCATCAACTTTGTACTCAAAATTTCATATTTTCTAAATTTTCCTTAAAGTTACACATTTCCACAGCTTTTAATCAGAGTATGTACTATGTTCAGATTACTAATGACGAGTAGCTTTCTACACAACATGCTTTGACTATGGGGGTTAGAAAATGTGAAATTTTGTGTACAAAGTGAATTTAGAGCTACTCAAGATGTCATCAGCATTGTCAATTTGAATAGCTGAGAGTAATTTACTAGAAAATGTTTTAAAAAAAAGAGTAGTTTCCTTACCGAGTTTGCCCATTTCTTATTTTTAATTTTGATTCAAATTTGTCTCCTTTGATTGCTCAGTGAAATTTCTAGGGTAGATTTCCCCTTTAAATCCGAGTAAAAAATTGTCCTTTTGATCGACCAAAGATTTAGTGGGCAGGTCAAGATTTCCCAGAAGCCTTGCATTGGACCTTGCATCTTACTTCAAATATAAAATCAACACAAAACACATAAACAATCTACAAAAAGCTATTTACAATAAACTGATAGAAATGAGTTGATATGAATTATTAACAGGCAAATATAAATACTCAAATTTAAGGGTCTATGAATATAGAAGACAAGGTTATAAGAGCGTTTGGCAGCACACACATTGGCCCGAATTCACAAAGCAAGGTTTGAGCTCAGACCAAGGTTTGAGCTCAAACCTCCTTTTGTTTCGCCAAACCTCCTTTTGTTCTTTACAAACCAGGTTTGTAAAAAACGCGTAAACCGCGTCATATGACGTACGAAACCAAGGTTTGAGCTCAAACCTCCTTTGTGAATTCGGGCCATCGGTTTCAGCATCCTTACAAAAAATAGTAAATTTACAGACCTATACAACTTTGTCTTGCATTCTCAACAAGATGATGGCAATTCAATTCAAAAAGATGCACCAACAAAACTGTTATGTCGCTGATAAAGTTTCTCCATTATTAGCTGAAATGGTCAAATTTGGTTTCAATATGAGTTTTAGGATTTTTGCATTGCCCCTGAATGAAGGTATCTTAATCTACCTTGAATGAAAATTTGGTGTTCACTGGTTTGGTAAACGGCTCCCTCAGGTCTTCCACATCGACGGCCGCTCCCGATTTGGACAAAAGCAGTTTTTGTACCAACTGCGTCAGCTGCTGCTGCCCTTCCTCCAGCCTCTGCAGCGTACAGTGTGCCTGCACTTGAAAATTGCCTGAGAAGAAAAAAAACAGACACATAAAATACATTATAATAACAGTTAAAGTCATTAAAAAGTTTGACAGCAAATTAATAGGATATTTTGGCGAGATATGTTTGATAGCTGAAAAATTTAGTCACTTCAGGAATATATCACCCAGCTTCAAAGACGACACCTGTGCAGCGCTTCCAACAAAGTATACATACTGTAAGGATTTAAAAGCGACTCTTCTGTAAAAAAACTATACCCATGCCTTGTTGATGAAATAAATTACATGTACGCCGAGATAATCTGCCTCTCTTATCCAATCCAACAGTATTTTAGTGTAGCAACTTAGTACAAATGGCAAATGTTGTTTTGTTAGTTTCTACGCTCTACAGTATATGTTCTGATGATAAAAAAACCCATCAGAAACTTTTGTTTGTGAAATGCTATCTGAAAAAAACTTACTTTCGAAACCCGAGCCCTTGCTGGAGTTGTGGGTTGGAACTGAAAAATGTGATGTGGACTTGGACTTCGCATTCAGTTTCGGCATTGGTATCTCTGCTGCCACAGCCTTAGTCGTTCCTCCGCGTACATGTTGTTTTCTTGGGTCCTAACCGATTCAAGATCTGAAAAACAGAGACACATTGCAGATGTTAAAAGGGATATCAAGACATGACAAGAATTCTCATAAACTGAACAAACTTTTGGGTAATGCAAACTTCTTGTCCGAAATTTATGCCTAGATTACAAATTAATTTCCAGTTTTGCCGGAATGGTGCCACATCTATTAATCATCATTTTGCATGGCTGGGACACAAAGCAGGTCTAGCTATCCCAAATAAATTATCTTAGGTTTTCATCTGTTGGATTTTGAAGAAAACAAGAAATAAGATGTAAATTATACGTCTCTGGCCGAACCAAGCACTACTAACCATCAAGAGACAAATACTTACCAGCGTCAATTCCGGAATCACTAGAAGATTTGCTAAATCTCTGGGGAAGACGTCTCTTTCGCTTCTACATAGCATCATCTTCCGATACCAGGTTTGACGTGTCCTCTGCCTTCCTGGCGATGCTTTTGCGCTTTCACATAGTTGCCTGTATGTAAAAATAAAACAAATCAATCCTTAAGTTATTAATCTACGTTATTGGAAATCAATTTCTTTAAATAATGTGTCATCTGAACTAAAAAGATTTTTTTTAAAGTGACGAAATTGAGAACAAGATAGGCCTATAGATCTAGGTCTCGATATTTCTAAAAAAAACAATATCCATACAAAAAAGGTGGTTTGGGGAGCTATTTCAATTGCCTAAAAAACAAACCTGTTGTAATAGGGGGTGGGATAATATAAAGTTGCTAAATGGTGGTGGAGGGAAAAGCATGGAATGTTCCACTCCCATGGGATTTTAAATGCTATTGAGGGAAGAGTAAATAAGTCGAGAAATGAGCTGGTAGTCGAGGGACGTATTTTCTTCACGAAATAGCATTTTAAATCCCGATGGGAACTTTCCATGATTTTTCCAGACAGCAAAGTTAACAACTCAACTGTTTTAATCATCCGATTACCATGTAATGTAACGAGCCATGCGCACATACCCACTCCATCAAAGAGTCCATGCTATTATGCGTATTGACCTCTAGCACTGCACTACGTGTTAATAGGCAGCATTTGCTCAAAAGGAATAGTCAATACACATAATACACATATGAACTTATCATGCCGATGCGGCTGTAAGCAAATGTTGACAGTAGATCTAGATTTTCTAGATCTAGACAAACAATTTGAATTTCTAAATTGTTCTTTCTCACAAAATAACATCGGTAAGTTGAACAAATTGTATTTTATTAGACTACTGCTATTTAGGTGTCATCAATTGTCACTAAAGTACCGATTTTTAGTGAAAGAGTTTTGTACAGTGGTGTTTGAAATGTTGAGTATCAATAGCACAGCTTTTAATACACACAGCCAGAATAGTAATGCAGCTATGTATGCACTAACTCCAAGAAGCTCCGACGCCGTTCGGCATCGGAGCTTCCTGGAGTTTATGTGTGCACATACCCTAGCCTACCCAATTACCATACCAGTCAATGCAATGAAAGTTTCAACGGCCTGCACATGCGACATAGAGTCTGCCGTACTTTTAGTTTTAATGCAAAATTGCAAATAATCAATATTTTATTTCATTTTACATGCTTCAAAATCAATCAAACAAAGCTTAAATTCCTTACAGATATCAAAATGTTAAAATAACGCTTACCTCGGTGTCGCAGTCTAACATATTATTTGAAATCTCGAAGTCACGTCATCAAGCAGTCAACTCGTCAGTCAGTTTAAAACACGCGGCATGCAGCTCTGGAGCGAGCTAGCGCGCCGCACCGGCCGTGCCGGATACGATTCACTGACCTATACAGTGGTACGATTATATACGGTGCGTACGCACTTTGTATACACGTGGTTGAATGGAGCATAATAAATGATGTAGCGCGGTCGGACTGATTGGGCTGGGGGGGGGGGGGGGGGGGGGGGGGGCACAAACATTATGTGAGGGGGAGGGGTCACTCCTTATGTATTTCTTTTTTCTTCATCTGCATCTGCATCTGCATCTGTCTGTGACGTACAATCACCAGCATCTGGTTGTCACCTTATGTTTTCTATTTTTTTCCTCAAAATTATTGGGGGCACGTGCCTCCCTACATCGCTACGCCACAGGAGTGCATCAGTTTCACATACCTCGACCCCCCCCCCATGCGTATGCATGTGGCCTAATTTCGCCAGCTGGTATTTTTTAAGAAATATTTATTTGGACATAAAAAATAAATTCAACAAAATACGTCTGAATAAAACGTTCTGTAAACGTTTTACAGGACCTATCCAAGAACGTTTAATTTGTAACGTCCAAAAAACGTTTTCTGAACGTCTTCAAAAGACCTAGCTCCGCAGCGAATGTAAAGTCCCAACTTAGACGTTATATAAACGTTTTTTAAACGTTTAATATGGACGGAGACGTACGGAACCTGATACGAACGTTCTGTAAACGTTCTAAAAACGTTTTGTGTTTGCTGGGGGGCGTCTCCAACAATTTTTTTTTCTTCATTTTTTTTTCTTTTTTGACTTTTCAATGATCATAAAATTGAAAAGAGACCACCTAATTCGTCACCATGACGAATTCAATTTCTAGTTGTTAAAATTGCCTTTATTTTTATTTATTTATTATTTATTTATCAGGTGGGCTGTATAACGTACAGACCACCTTATAATTTCGTTAGAATTGCCTTTATTTATTTATTATTAATTATTTATATATTTTTCTTATTTCTAACCACTTTTTTGTTGGCAAGATAACTTGGAAATGGCTCAATCAAATAATTTGAAATTTGGCACACATATGTATAGGCATATGTACAAAGCACAATAACGTTTTCAACATTGACCTTCACTGATGACGTCATCTAGGCGCCATTTTGTAAAATTTTACGAAAATCAACTCCTGATCATATCTTCATAACCAAAAGGTATTTCTGATTCATATTTATCATGATCAGGGTCAATATCCGTCCGGTCAATTTCAGGTCAAATAACGCGAGCGTGCGCGTACGTCCGCGCGTCAATGCGCGCGTAAAATTTTGAAATGCTCAAAATCGTCTCAAAATCATTTTGCATACGTTTTAGGCCATTCTAAGCATTTTATAAAAAATCGCGCACACGCGCATACGCGCATGCGTGCGCGTTTTCGCGCGTCAAACTATTGCACAACGTAGAATCGCCATTTTTTTTCTTTCATAATATTCCACATATTTTACAAACAAATTGATAGCATGTTTATCTCTTTATGACTATTAATGACGGAATGATCGACCGTTAAACATAAATTTCCGTGCGCGCGAGCTCTTGTAATACATAGCATATATAGGCAAAAACATGCCTATGCAAAATCCATTGTAGCTCTTTAGGATGCAAGGAGACCCCAATTTGTTTTCATATTTTGATTGAGTATGAATCGGAGATATGATTTCATGTCTCATTTGGCCCTCAATTAACTCATGACGTCATCATAATGGCCTCCGAACTCAAAATTTTAATTTGCATATTATGACGTCAGCATATTTTTGGAAAATTGATTATATCTTTGTAAAAAATTGATCAATTTTCTTCCAAATGTAGTTGCCACGATTTTTCATTTTGACAAAGGCATCATGACGTATTTTTAGCGATTAAAGGAGGCATGTCAATTTGTCACATTTTGCGTGTATTCTCTATGGGACATGACTTTTTCTCAAAACTTGATTATACATTCCCGTCTTTCGCGAGCAATATCTACGTCGTTTTAGCTTCATTTACGCTGAACTTTGAGTATGATGTAGCTGAGACAATTAGCCATCTCAAATGTACCCTTCATTTTGTCTCATTTTTTTGTTGGATCAGCCCACCTATACTTGTTCCAAACAAGTATTACAAATCTAGTTTATTTTTCTTATTTCGACCCACTTTTTTGTTAGCAAAATTACTTTGAAATGGTTCAAACAAATGCTTTGATATTTGGCACACATATGTATAGGCATATGGACAAAACACAGTAAGGTTTTAGACCTTGACCTTGACTGATGACGTCATCTAGGCGCCATTTTGTGAAATTTTCTGAAAATCATCTCATGATCATATCTTCAAAACCAAAAGGTATTTATCATTCATATTTATCATGATTAAGGTCAATATCAGTCCGGTCAATAGCAGGTCAAATAACGCGCGCGTGCGCGCACGTCCGCGCGTCAGTGCGCGCGCAAAAAATTAAAATGCTCAAAATCGTCTCAAATTTATTTTGCATACGTTTCAGGTCATTTTAAGCATTTTATAAAAAATCGCGCGTACGAGCATGCGCGCGCGTTTTCGCGCGTTACATCATTACACAACATAGAATCGCCATTTACTTTTCTTTCATGATATTTCTCATATGTTTTCAAGGAATTTGAAACCATGTTTATCTCTTTATGACCATTAATAACAAGATGAGCGTCAATTCAAGATAAATGTCCGTGCGCGCGAGCTCTTTTAATACATAGCATATATGGGCAAAAACATGCCTATACAAAATCCATTATAGCTCTTTGGAATGAACCGTGACCTTCAATGTTTTTTCATATTTAGATATGATTCCATGTCTCATTTGGCCATTAAGTGTATCGTGACATCATCATAATGGCCTTGGAACTCAAAATACGAATTTGCATATAATGACGTCAGCATATTTATGGACATTGATTGTATCTCTGTAAATATTGATCGATTTTCTTCCAAATTTCGACATGATGTAGCTGAGACAATTCTCTACAAGCTCAGTCCACATCATTTTTCATTTTGATAATGTCATCAGAGTGAAATTTTGATTAAAGGCCTCATGTCAGAAATTTCACAATTTGCGTGTTATGACTATAGAAGGTGAATTTCGTTGACGTAATGAATCTACATGATATTGTAATCAAGAATTTTAAAGCAGTTTCTCGCTTATTTTTGCTCTATTTTTTTTTCAAATTTTAGTTTACCAGCCCACCTATACTTGTTCCAAACAAGTATTATATGTCTAGTTTATTAAATATTTTTCTTATTTCTAACCACTTTTTTGTTAGCAAGATAACTTGAAAATGGCTCGATCAAATGCCTTGAAATTTGGCACACATATGTATAGGCATATGTACAAAGCACAATAACGTTTTCAACATTGACCTTCACTGATTACGTCATCTAGGCGCCATTTTGTAAAAAACAACTCATGATCATATCTTCATAACCAAAAGCTATTTCTCATTCATATTTATCATGATCGAGGTCAATATCCGTCCGGTCAATTTTAGGTCAAATAACGCGCACGTGCGCGTACGTCCGCGCGTCAATGCGCGCGCAAAATGTTAAAATGCTCAAAATCGTCTCAAAATCATTTTGCATACGTTTTAGGCCATTCTAAGCATTTTATAAAAAATCGCGCACGCACGCATGCGCGCGCGTTTTCGCGCGTCAAACTATTACACAACATAGAATCGCCATTTTTTTCTTTCATAATATTGCACATATTTTTACAATTAAATTGATACCATGTTTATCTCTTTATGACTATTAATAACGGAATGATCACCCGTTTAACATAAATTTCCGTGTGCGCGAGCTCTTGTAATACATATCATAAATGGGCAAAAAGATGCCTATACAAAATCCATTGTAGCTCTTTAGGATTCAAGGTGACCCCAATTTTTGTCTTCTTATTGTGATAGAATATGAATTGGAGATATGATTTCAAGTCTCATTTGACCCTTACTTTTCTCATGACGTCATCATAATGGCCTCCGAACTCATAATTTCAATTTGCATATTATGATGTCAGCATATTTTTCAAAAATTGATTGCATCTCTGTAAATATTGATCGATTTTCTTCCAAATTTCGATATGTTCTAGCTGAGACAATTCATTACAAATGTAGTTTCAACATTTTTCATTTTTGACAAAGGAATCATGGCGTATTTTTGCGATTAAAGGAGGCATGTCAATTTTTCACTTTTTGCGTGTATTCTCTATGGGACATGACTTTTTCTCAAAACTGGATTCTACATTCCCGTCTTTCGCGAGCAATATCTCCGTCGTTTTAGCTTCGTTTACGCTGAACTTTGAGTATGATGTAGCTGAGACAATTAGCTATCTCAAATATGCCCTTCATTTTGTCTAAAATTTTAGTTGGACCAGCCCACCTATACTTGTTCTAAACAAGTATTACAAATCTAGTTATTTATTATTATTCTTCCTCGAATTTGTTCGCAGGATATCTCAAGACTGAATAAAGCCATTATCATAAAACTTGACACGATGATAGATCTTAGTCTAACTTAGAACTGGTGACTTTTTAGAGAGTCAAATTGATCGTGACGTCATCCATGCGCCATTTTGTGAAAATCAACTTATGATCATATCTTCGTAACGGAAAGTTATTTCCTATTCATAATTATCATGATTAAGATCAATATCCGTCCGGTCAAGTTGAGGTCAATAAAAGTGCGCAAATGCGCGCGTGTGCGTTCGTCCGCGTGTTTACGCGCGCGCAAAAATTTAAAATGCTCCGAATCATCCCAAATTTTTTTTGCATACGTTTCAGGCCATTTAAAGCATTTCGCAAAAAAATTGCGCACACGCGCATGCGTGCGCGTTTCCGCGCGTACTGGCATTTTGCAACGTAGAATCGCCGAATTTTCTCTGTCATCATATGTGGCACATTTTTCCAAGCATATTGATAATTTGTTCACCTTTTATTAACGCAATGAGCGTCCGTCAAAGTTGACAGCACGCGCGGATCTGCGTTATCTTTATCCACAATACATGGGCAA